GCCACGGCTGCCCCCGCGCCGCAGCCTTCCCCACCCGGCCTGTACGGCGTGCTGCCCCTCCTGTGGTCCCGTCCCTCTGACGGGACACCCCACACCAAAGGGGACCACAGTGCTTCAATAGGGATGACTTCACCCCATGGGCTCTGAGAGCCAGGGCTATCACCACTCTAAACCAGCCCAGAAAGGCAAACTCTCCTCCTGCCCCATGCCATGCCCTCAACACAAGGCAGGAGGTCATCCCCACACCTCAAAACCCAGGCATCCGCACCACCGAGCCTAATTGAGCTCTCTCCAGCCAACCTCTTCTCCAAATGTTGTCCATAAGAGATTTGGAGTTGAATAAGGAATATTTCCAGGTGCCTGGGGGCAAGGAAGTGCAGATGGGCCACGTGGCCAGAGACACAGATGCAATAACGTACCTGCAAACATCATCATGTGCTGTAAATTTGTTCCGATCTTATTTCTTCTCCCCAAATTCAGTAAAAATGACAGAGGGTAAATATTGGCAGCTCTTCCTAGGAAGATAGCAAGCTGTATTTGCACGTTAAGGAAAGTGCTCTTCCTATGTCTCCCACTGCATCCCACCTCTGCACACAGAGCCAGTTCCTGCTGCCTGATAGAAATGCCAGTCCTCTGGAAGTGGAGATAATAACCCAGCTCTGAGTGCTAGAGCAGTGGGGGAAGAGCATGCTGCTGCCTCACAGAAGCAAAGTACACACTGCAATTCAGGAATATCATACAGAGACAAGCACAAACAAAGTAGGGAATGATGAGAGGACAGTTTAGACAAGAGAGGAAAGAAAAACTACCATTTCTCTCCTACCATGCTTCCCCCTGCCAGGTCCATTTTCCACCCCAAGAGACATTTTTCCTCTGCAAAGCTCAGGTTATCACAGCTCCCACAACCCCTTTGACATTCCCCAGTGCACCACACTTCCAGCTGGGTTTGAGTCTTCAAGCCATGTCCCATTCCCAAAGATTATTCAGCAAAATGAAAGCAGCAGCAGTTGAGAAGGAAAAAAAAAAAAAAAAAAAAATACTCTTTCTGTTTTCATAGCCTGTGACACACAGGAATCACCAGCCCCTTCATAATGCTTTTATCTTTGAAGCTGTGTCTTTTAATGCCAGTGCCCAGATGGCAAAAATAATCTTGGAGCCAGTATTCAGCACAGCCTTGAATAATATGGAAAATGCTTTCAGCTTCTGTGTTCTTTCCTGAACAGCATGGATTTGCATAGGAGACGCATTTCACGATGTCTCTGATGAATGAGCTATTTCATCAGCGAGTTACTCACTTCCTATGGAAGCGGCGTGACACAAAACTTCGATCTAACCAGCCCAGCTCCCTGTGCTGCTCTCCCTTACCCCACTGCAGCCCTGCAAGAGCTCATGGGGAAACACAGCAGACCCAGATCAACCCCCCGTGCCAGCACTGGCAAGGATAAGATTGTCTTCTGTAACAGTAAAAACCTGCTTCAGTGCAGGCAAAGGGTGACAATAGTTCTGCACATCTGAACTGGCTTCCCTGTGATATGAAAAAAATTCCTTCAAAATCCTTGTTTTTCTGAGGCACACCAGGCCCAACAGCTTGTTTCCGTTTGCATCAGCCTGCAGAAGGGGAAATCCTTCCTCATGACATCATTCAGAGACAGCTGCTGTAGCTTTAACTGTACTATTTGGCAAAAAAAAATCTGATGTTTTACAGTTAACCAAATGGAATAGCAGAGAAGAGGAAATAAGCAGCTATAGCAGGACATCCCCTTTTGCAAAGCTGCTCCTGGTGCCACGTGCCCAAGCCTAGTGCTTCAGCACCACGTTAGCATCAAGTCCCTGCCACAGCTGATACAAATGCCCATGAAAGGAGACAAGACAAAAAAAGACCAGAAAAGCTGGGAAAAGAATCTCTTATCTTCTTAAAATAACCAGCAAAGGCATCACTACATGGGGGAAATCCCCTTTTAAAAATAAAGCTAGACTGACTGAAAAAAAAAAAAAACCCACACATATTTGAATGAAAAACACAAATGGGAGTGAGGCACCTCTCCCTTTCTTTTTTTGTCTCATAAAATGGGCTCCAAAGGATACAAAAGCCCCCACCACAAAGGTAGGGTTAAAGACATGGTTCTGGAAGGTGAACAGTGCAAGTCCCATGTAGGAGAAGATGAAGTTTTCTGCCAGGAAATTCAGAAGCTCAAACAACTGAAAGAGAAAAACAAATTAAAAGTGAGTTAAATACAACAGATTTGACAAGAAAAACATTAGCCCATCCATCACATAATAAATATTTCTGCAGAAGTAATTCTAGTGAAATCCATCTGTAGAAAGACAGATGCACCAATTCTGGCCAGAGGGAAGGAAAAAAAATATTGAACTTGAAATTTGGAGAGGCTGAAGGAGGCTGAGGAGCTCTTACCTGCTTCGTTCTGTGTTGGGACTCTGTAGATAAGTTGTTATAGGTATAATGGGCCTGCGTGATCCCACAGAAGAGGACAGCCACCACACCTGGGGAGCAGAGCATCACGTTAGACTCCTGGTCATGAAAAGGGAGTTGAGCTGCACCCCAGTACTGGAGAGGACTTAATGAAATAACTCTAGAACCCAGAATAGTTAAACTTCTGAAAGCAGCGGGAGAGCCCCAGCTGCAACTGAAACTGGGGGAAGCCTGATCTTCCCTGCAGATTCCCATCCCAGGTACAGGGCTGTGCTGGAGCTTGCCTGTAAAGCCACACGCTTCGGCCAGCAGGAACGTGCTCCAGGACATCAGGAAGAACAAGCCAGTCTCCAGCAACGGGAACTCCCGAAGCTTGGTGAACTTGGTGACGTTGCAGATGGTTAAGGGCAATTTGGAGAGAAGCTCTAGGCTAAGAGCATATCAAATCCAGTGGTGTATCACAGCAAGATGACACAGCCTGCCCCTAAAAAGGCTATGGCACTGCCTTTCATTAATTTAGGCAAAAGATCATGAAACACTGCATCTGGGTGAGATGCAGCACAGCCAAAAAAAAAAAAAGAAGTTGTTATGCAAACACTTGGAAAAAAAAAAACCAACAAAAAGGATATTAAAGCTGTCACAACTCCAGTAGCTGCTCCCATGGCAAAAGATCCACTGAATATCCCCAGGAAAATCCCGATGGACTTGAACATCGCTGTGACATCAAACGTGTGGCTGTTGTCCCCCGCTGGCTGGTACGCAACAATCGAACTGAGAGAGGAAGAAAAAGCACACACAAGAACAAAACACTCCTTAGTCTGGAAGGAGAAACACCTCCACGGTCCTATGTGAGCTCTGCCAAGAGCTACAACAGCTGCAAACACCGAGCCCGAGAAATCGGGGAGACATCCAGAGAGGTGGCTGACCTGCATCCCCCTGCAGAACTCCAGTTCTACAGAACTGCATAAAACTCTAAGTTCTGCAGGTTCACTGCATTTAACAAGCACTCCATTCACTTTGCACTGCTCCAGGTTCTGAAGCGAACCACCCAAGGTGCACACGACGCAGGGCTGGATCACTACAGCAATCAGCTTCACCCACCAAACTCCAGCAGACCTTTGCGAGAGACAGTCTGCTGTGCTGATCCCACCTCTGACCCTGCTCCCTCCTAACTCCTGATAAGCTGAGCCTTGCATCAGCCATTCCACTGCCTTACCCAGAAACCCAAGAGATACAGGGGTCCCCTATCCACCTCCTAAATCCCATTTTAGTACCGACTCCTCACACCACTTTCTTTGATATGAACTTACCATAAACATTAACTTCCTAGTTAGCAATCCCCTAGCTGGCTCTGTTAAAATTCTTGGATGTGGATTTTCACCAGTTGTTGTTTAATCTCCTGAGTTCTGCTGGAGCAGAAAGTTCCTGCCCTGCACACACATCCTGCAGCTTTCTCCCCTAACTACACACCAACATTTTTCCACAACACAAAGGACGATCCTCCCCTTCCCAGCACTCCATGGCTTTTTAGTTTAGTTCCCTTGGTAAACTTCCCTGCTTTTAATACACTTCATGTTTCTGCACTGTCTTTTACACTGCAAGCTGCAGATTTCTCCTTGGAATTTGATTTCTTTTGTCAGTACCATCCACCAATGTGCTCTTATTCTGAGGTTTGGGGTTGGTTTGGTTTTTTTTTAATCCAGACTGGTTTTGTTTCCCCTCCATAACTGAGTGTTTCAGATGTTGCTTTTGCGTTTTAACCTCTTACAGTTTTCCTTCTAGTTTTGCTTTTGTCATCACTGGTAAGACACTGCTGCCAGCTGCCCTTTGTGCGTGTTATTTCTGCTGAACACGCCCACAGGGATCCCTG